GATAAATGAGTCTGAATGATGAGTGAGTCTGTGTGATGAGTGGGTATGAGTGATGAGTGGGTCTGAATGATGAGTGATTAGGTATGAGTGAGAGGAGTGGTGTGTTCTGTTCTCTCTTTGTTCCTCCGGCGCGGTCCGCCAATAACAAGAACCCCATACTTAGGATATGGGGAATAAACAACTAACATGAACACATATAATTATATTCGCAAAATAACCGAACAGCCATGTGCATGAGCATATATGGAAGCATTCTTATTTAGATTCACGTTCGGCTTTGACTGGGGGCGAAGCGCTGCGATCAATAGTGGACGCGTCTGCAAATTAGGCACTACTATCAACGAGAAAGCACATTCTTTTTGTGCTCATTCCAAACGAGACGCTGCTACGCAGGGGTGTAGGTGCAAACGAGACGTTGCTATCAATGGTTTCCGCCCCGAACGAGACACGAGTATCAATGCATTCTGGGAACTCGACGAACACGACTCCCAATGGTATCCCGGAGTGGAGTTCTGGGAACTCGACGAACACAAAATGGCCTACAGTTGGATCTGGGCATTAAAAATGAGGCCCTACTACTACTACTACTACTACTACCACTACTACTACTACTACTACTACTACTACCACTACTACTACTACTACTACTACTTCTACTACTACGACTACGACTACGACTACGACTACTACTACTGCTACTACTACTACTACTACTACTACTACTACTACCACTATTACTACTACTACTACTACTACTACGACGACGACGACGACGACGACGACGACTACTACGACTACTACGACTACTACGACTACTACGACTACGACTACTACTACTACTACTACGACGACGACGACGACGACGACGACGACGACGACGACGACTACTACGACTACTACTACTACGACTACTACTACTACTACTACTACTACTACTACTACTACTGCTGCTGCTGCTGCTGCTGCTACTACTACTACTACTACTACTACTACTACTACTACTACTACTACTATAACTATAACTATAACTACTACTACTACTACTACTAAATACTTAATAACTATAACTACTACTACTTACTACTTACTACTACTGCTGCTTACCTACTATACAACTACTACTACTACTTTTACTACTAATCTACGTACTTACTACCTCTCTATTACTTATTAGCATATACTACTGCTACTACTACTACAAACTACGACTCCTACTTCTTACTTACTTATTATCACTGACCCATACTTACTCTGCTTACTACTACTATACTACTACTAACTTGCTTACCTATCTCTACTACGACCACTACTACTACAACTGCTACTACTAATACTGCTAATACTTCTACTACTACTTCCACTATTACCATTACTACGGCTATTACTAATACGACAACTACTACTACTACTACTACTACTACTACTACTACTACTACTACTACTACTACTATTACTACGACTACGATACTACTACTACTACTACTACTACTACTACTACTACTACTACTACTACTACTACTACTACTACTACTATTATTACTACGACTACTAAATATACTACTACTACTACTACTACTACTACTACGTCTACTATACTACTACTACTCTCCCACCTACCTGCCTATACTACTTCTACTACTATATTACTACTATATACTATCTACTTATACCTATTATTTACTTCATTCTACACTACTACTAATTCCTACCACTACTACTTGACTACTACTACTACTATACTAATACTACTACGACTAGTACTAGAACTGCTGCTACACTACTACTACTACTACTGCTACTACTACTACTACTACTACTACTACTGACTACTACTATCTTTACTTACTACTACTACTACTACTACTACGACGACTGCGACTACGACTTCGACTACGAGGTCGACTACGACTACTACTTTTACTACGACTACCACTACCACTACTACTACTATTAACTTATTACTCGCTTTCTTGATAACTACGACTACTCCTACTCCTACTCCTACTCCTACTCCTACTCCTACTCCTATCCTTATTCCTTATTCCTTATTAGAATATACTCCTACTCCCCCTCAGGCCGGCCGATAGGGGCCGCATCCGGGTGGTCCCATCCTAACCTGTAAAAAATACAATACAAAATCAACATTTTTCTTATTTTTTCCTCTCGACATGGACGTCCTGTCGTCCACGGCGATAATCCATTGCAAAAAATACCACAAAGAGCACGCGCGCGCGTTCATGTCAGAATCCTACCGAACACTGTGTGTTTGCAAGCATTTCAACATAAAAACATCAAAAAACCCAATGCTTTTTTCACAAAAGTTGTACAAATTTCCCGCCCGGGCTCTTGCTGAAATCATGGGAAAACCATAGGAATCTTAAGAATTCTGTCAAATCCAGCGATTTCACGTCATCGCGCGGTGCACTCGCGATGCTCTGTCATGCACCCAGGCCGCGAATCCTGTGCAAAAAATACAACAAAGAGCACACTCGCGCGTTCATGTCAGAATCCTACCGAACACCGTGTGTTTGCAAGCATTTCAACATAAAAACATCAAAAACCTAATGCTTTTCACAAAAATGCTTTGGGGTGTCCTGTCAGACCGTCGGGATTCCTCCGGCCACCTCTGGCTTCCTGCGGTGTACCGGGCCATTCTCGACTCGTCTGGCAATGCGTGCGCGGCATTCAACACGCGCTCGCCAGATCCCGTCGGCAACCGCCATCGCGGCCGCATCAGCTGTACCAAACCGGCTGGCCGGTGTGACTTCGGCCCCCAGTTGTGCCAGCTTTGCTTCCTATGTTGTGGGAGCGCGGGTGGGACTGGGCATGCCATGCTTGACTCGCTCGAGCTGGCTAGCTTGACTCCTACTCCTACTACTCCTCCTACTACTACTACTACTACTACTACTACCACTACTACTACTACTACTACTACTACTACTACTACTACTACTACTACTACTACTACTACTACTACTACTACTACTACTACCACTACTACTGAAATGCCCCAATGGGGGTCGTCGGAGACGCCAAAGGTGTTGAAGTCCGAGGAGGAGAGGAGAAGGAAGGGACGGAGAGGGAGGGCTCGGAGGCCCCTGGGGGGGGGGGGGGATGTGCCCATCCGAGGGAACGGTGCACCCCCCCATCCCCGTCGTGAGAACGAGGTACCAGCCGTGGCAACGTCCCCCACCCTTTATCCCCCCCCGCGACCTGAGTAGACCACCCAAACCAGCGGGGAGCGTCATCGGGGGCGGGGGTTCTGACGTCGATGAAAGAAGAAGGAGGAGAGCGGGAGGCAAGGAACAGGCAGGCGAAAACCCTTTTAGGCTTTACCCGGCGTGTGGGCATGCCCTTTTTGGCTGTTGCGGGGACAAGCCCGCGCGGCCGCCCGCAGGCGACAGGGCGACATGGCCCTCTTCGTGAGCGCGCAGGAGCGTGGCGTACTTCAAGCGCATGGGTGCCCGCGGAGGCGCCCCGCGGCACGACAGCGATGGTAAAAAGGACAAATTCGGTGACGCTGGAGCCCCTAATGCGACGAGGAAGCTACACATGCATCTTCTGTGACACTGGAGCTCCGCAGGACAAGTCAGCCCAGCATGCCTCAGCCTCAGCCTGCATCAGGTCAGTCTCAGCCTCAGCCTGCGTCAGTCTCAGCCTGCTGCGCTCCCGCATACCCCTTCGGCCTCAGCCTGCCTCAGCCTCAGCCTGCATCAGCCTCAGCCTCAGCCTCAGCCTGCCTCAGCCTCAGCCTGCTGCGCTCCCGCATATTCCTGCGGCCTCAGCCTGCACCAGCCTCAGCCTGCATCAGCCTCAGCCTCAGCCTCAGCTTCAGCCTGCCTCAGCCTCAGCCGCACCTCCGATGGCGCCGAGGTGGCTCCCGTGCGTACCTGCACCCACGGAACTCATCTCCGATGGCGCCGAGGTGGCTCCCGTGCGTACCTGCGCGCACGGAACGCTTCTCCGATGGCGCCGAGGTGGTTCCCGTGCGTACCTGCGCGCACGGAACGCTTCTCCGATGGCGCCGAGGTGGCTCCCGTGCGTGCCTGCACGCACAGAACGTACCTCCGATGGCGCCGAGGTGGCTCCCGTGCGTACCTGCACGCACGGAATGAGCTCCGCCGGATTCTCCCGGTTTCTGCCGGCTTCCGCCCGGACCCCCCTGGAGTGTCGTGATGCTCTCTTTTGACCCTACTAGAAACCTATCAGCACAAGCTGTTAGGTAAAAACAAACTGGTAAATACATGCGTAACTAAATACATACATGAACACGTAAGCGGACAACTCAATACAGATCAGATTAATGAATACATGAAGAAGTACAAAAACGAACACATACATCAAACCATAGATGGACTCAATCGACATAACCAATGAAAACAATACACACATACATCCCTGCAAATCTCTACACCAACAGTTTAAGACGTGTGTATGTAACCTACAAATACACATGCAGATTCATGTACGTATCCACAAGCATAGACATGCATATACATATACGAATGCATATACACATGGGCATATGCATGCACGTGTACATGTACAATTTCAATTACATGCACACATCCAATTACAGTATACGGTAAACATGCTAGGTTTATACACTATATATGATACACAATCCATGCACATATACACACATCCATACACATACATATCCGTACACTCAAACGTATACACATACATATACACATACATATACATACACCTATGCGTGTGCAGTCGCCCCAGCCACGCTGGGATTAAAACTGATGCCAACTGTAGATCATACTTGCATGTAGGTGTTGGGTTTCGATGGACTGGCCATGGTCGTTTTGATGGAACCCGTTTTGTTGTTCGCGATAACGCCCGTGACTGGCCCCGCCCCCACCATCCCTCCCCCCCTTGGTCACGTCACGATTCGCGCCGGCGCCGTGTACGAATTAGCCATCGCAGCACATTTCCAGACGGCGCCGGCACGAATCGTGACGTGGCCGCCCCCCCCCCCCCCTCCCCTCGGTCACGCCCGCTTCGCCAGGGGACAAGGAAAAGCGGTCTCATGGCATCAGCACAGGGAGAGGGGGAGATGCGAGGCGGCGGGCGAGGCTGGTCAGCCGGAGTGGCAGAGCCACCTCTTCTGTGGTGCTTTGACCAGTGCACACGCCTGGGCCACGCTCGGACTAAACCCAATCCCCACTGCAAATCCCCTGCAATGGTGAGGCGTCGGTGTCAGGATTGCCCATGGCATCCGCGAGGGTAGCAGCGGAGGAGACATAGGAGGCGGCTGGCGCGGCTGGCCAGCCGGAATGGCAGCGCCACTTCTTCTGTGGGGCCTTGGCCACTGCGCACGCTCGGGCCACGCTCGGACTAAACTGCTTACTTATCGTCAGGGGTGGCGCCAGGGGTGGGGAACTATGCCCGTCTGCGCCCAGATCGTGGAGATGTCTGCGGCTGTTTCCCGTTTGGTGGCTTGAGGTTCCATGCTTTCAGCATAGGTTGTGAAGATGCCTCTGGCGAGGCGCTGATTTCAGCACCCCGCGGGAGAGCCGCCACAGAGGGGGGGGCACCCGCCCGTTCGCATCCAGAGATTGAGGATGTCTCAGGCGGTTGCCTCCTTTCTCCTCCTCTTCCCCCTCCTCCTGCTCCTCCTCCTCCTCCTCCTCCTCCTCCTCCTGCTCCTCCTCCTCTCCCTCCTCCTCCTCCTCCTCCTCCTCGCCCTCCTCCTCCTGCTCCTCCTCCTCCTCCTCGCCCTCCTCGCCCTCGTTGGCTCCCCCCCCCCTTGGGCTTGGGCTTCGGCGCTTTCAGAACAGTGTGTGGGGATGTCTCGAGCGAGGCGCTGGGAGGAGCCGCGATGGGGGTAGGACATGTGCTTGGTGGTGCCCTGACTGCGGGGGCGTCTCTGGCGCTTTGTCTGTGTGGTGGCCTTGGCGTCGGTGTTTGCATGACACACTGCCAGGATGTCTCGAGCGAGGCGTTGGTTCAGCACCCGAGGCGGCCAGTTCGTGGGGATGCATCAAGTGAGGCGCTCCATGTTGCACCTCAGACTTTTGTCGATTCATGGGCCCATGATCATTGAAATGTAGGGAGATGGACGGCCTCCAGGAGGGAGGAGGGAGGACGGAGGAAGATAGGGGAAGGACGCAGGAAGAGGGACTTCGGAGGAGGGAAGAAGAAAATGGATGGGGGTGCGACGAGTAGTGAGAGGAAGAGGGGAGGGGCCCTACTCACCACCTATCTGTCTTTGAGTTGTCGTCGTCACAGTCCATCATCGTCGCCGCCGTCGTGGTCGTCGTCGCACTCGTCGTCCACTCGGAGTCGCTCCTACACCCAGGCACTCACAATCCACACGCTCACAGCGGACGTGCCAGGACATGATATGCGCAGATGGGGATCCCCGCATCGAAACTGTCTTGTCAACCATCACCAGCCAGCAGCCAGAAAAACTGAAATCTGGGGTTTGGGGGGGTGCGAGGGACGAAGGTAGGGGGTCAGGGGGAAGAACGGTCTGCGTGTGGCGAGATGAAGTGGTAAGCTCTAAGATGGACGGGGGGACTCTGCTTGCACGGGCTTTTGTGTCCAGGCGGACTATCCGCACACAGGCTTGACGCAGTTCGCTGGTGCTTCGAACTGGCAGCTCGAAGTTCAGAGCCAGAGTGTTAGACCACTCGTCGGCGTCGGTCGTCGTCTTTGTCGCGCCCCAGGCGTTCCCAAATGGATTCCATAGGCCGCAGGAGACTCCCGTGCATGCCATGGACGTTCCTAGAGGGCTCGAAGATGCTAGGTTAGATTTTGGACTTGGTTAGATGCTCATTCATTCAGGACTCAGGACAGAAATTCATGCGCGAACAAAGCATGTCCATCTCTCGGCGCTGTTCGGCGCTGTTTTTGTTTGTGCCTCGCGGGTTTTGTTAGCCGGGCCCCTTAAGGGTGTGGGATCTTCCTGGGTTCTGGAGGCCTCCTGGAGGCCTGGAGAGCCGTCGGAAAAGTGTCTCGGGCTGTGCGGGAACGTGTTGAACCGTTCTTTACTTTCTGGAGGCTCCTTGGGGTCGTCTTGGGCTATCCTTGGGCGTCTTGGGGGCCCCCCGGGAAGCTGGGAGGCGCGGTGCCGGCCTGATGTCAGGGGATGTGTGGGATCTCCGAGTCGGAGTCCCACTTGGAAAAAATTATCCTGGCGAAGGACCCAACCATATGCAAACGTGAATACCGCAGGGCAGGTGGGACGAAGCAAAAAGAATTCCCAATGTGGCCACGAACCGTGTGAGGGGTGCGCCACACTGGACGGGGCCGCCATGCGAACCCTGCCACTGAGGCCTTCGGTGGAGCTCTCTATGTCCCTGCGGGGCCACGAACCGTGTGAGGGGTGCGCCAATATGGGGCGGGGCCGCCATGCGAACCCTGCCACTGGGGCCTTCGGTGGAGCTCCCTATGGGCCACGAACCGTGTGAGGGGTGCGCCAAAATGAGGCGGGGCCGCCATGCGAACCCTGCCACTGGGGCCTTCGGTGGAGCTCCATATGGGGCCACGAACCGTGTGAGGGGTGCGCCAAAATGGGGCGCGGGGCCGCCATGCGAACCCTGCCACTGGAGCTCCCTATGGGGCAACGAACCGTGTGAGGGGTGCGCCAAAATGGGGCGGGGCCGCCATGCGAACCCTGCCACTGGGGCCTTCGGTGGAGCTCCCTATGGGGCCACGAACCGTGTGAGGGGTGCGCCAAAATGAGGCGGGGCCGCCATGCGAACCCTGCCACTGAGGCCTTCGGTGGAGCTCCCTATGGGGCCACGATCCTCGTGAGGGGTGCGCCAAATGGGGCGGGGCCGCCATGCGAACCCGCCACTGGGCCTTCGGTGGAGCTCCCTATGGGGCCACGATCCTCGTGAGGGGTGCGCCAAAATGGGGCGGGGCCGCCATGCGAACCCTGCCACTGGGGCCTTCGGTGGAGCTCCCTATGGGGCCACGAACCGTGTGAGGGGTGCGCCAAAATGGGCGGGGCCGCCATGCGAACCCTGCCACTGGGGCCTTCGGTGGAGCTCCCTATGGGGCCACGAACCGTGTGAGGGGTGCGCCAAAATGGGGCGGGGCCGCCATGCGAACCTGCCACTGGCCTTCGGTGGAGTCCCTATGGGGCCATGAACGTGTGAGGGGTGCCCACGGGGCCGCCATGCGAACCCTGCCACTGAGGCCTTCGGTGGAGCTCCCTGTGGGGCCACGATCCTCGTGAGGGGTGCGCCAAAATGGGCGGGGCCGCCATGCAAACCCCGCCACTGGGGCCTTCGGTGGAGCTCCCTATGGGGCCACGAACCGTGTGAGGGGTGCGCCAAAATGAGGCGGGGCCGCCATGCGAACCCTGCCACTGGGGGCTTCGGTGGATCTCCCTATGGGGCCACGAACCGTGTGATTGGTGTGCCGAAATAGAGACATGCGGAGGGTGATGCTGATGACGACGCCGAATATCATGGTGATGTTGATGATGACGATGATGCTGATGACGATGATGATGAGGATGGCAGGAGGGCGGGGGCAGCGGGAGGAGGAGAAGGAGGGAACGCGGGGCACCGTCTCTTCAAAACGAGGACCCAACACCACAGGATGGTTGGGAAATATCCTGGCGAAGGACCCAACCATATGCAAACGTGAATACCGCAGGGCAGGTGGGACGAAGCAAAAAGAATTCCCAATGTGGCCACGAACCGTGTGAGGGGTGCGCCACACTGGGGCGGGGCCGCCATGCGAACCCTGCCACTGAGGCCTTCGGTGGAGCTCCTATGTCCCTGCGGGGCCACGAACCGTGTGAGGGGTGCGCCAATATGGGGCGGGGCCGCCATGCGAACCCTGCCACTGGGGCCTTCGGTGGAGCTCCCTATGGGGCCACGAACCGTGTGAGGGGTGCGCCAAAATGGGGCGGGGCCGCCATGCGAACCCTGCCACTGGGGCCTTCGGTGGAGCTCCCTATGGGGCCACGAACCGTGTGAGGGGTGCGCCAAAATGAGGCGGGGCCGCCATGCGAACCCTGCCACTGGGGCCTTCGGTGGAGCTCCCTATGGGGCCACGAACCGTGTGAGGGGTGCGCCAAAATGAGGCGGGGCCGCCATGCGAACCCCGCCACTGGGGCCTTCGGTGGAGCTCCCTATGGGGCCACGAACCGTGTGAGGGGTGCGCCAAATGGGGCGGGGCCGCCATGCGGACACGATCCGTGTGAGGGGTGCGCCAAAATGAGGCGGGGCCGCCATGCGAACCCCGCCATGGGCCTTCGGTGGAGTTCCCTATGGGGCCACGAACCGTGTGAGGGGTGCGCCAAAATGGGCGGGGCCGCCATGCGAATCCTGCCGCTGAAGCCTTCGGTGGAGCTCCCTATGGGGCCACGAACCGTGAGAGGGGTGCGCCAAAATGGGCGGGGCCGCCATGCGAACCCTGCCACTGGGGCCTTCGGTGGAGCTCCCTATGGGGCCACGAACCGTGTGAGGGGTGCGCCAAAATGGGGCGGGGCCGCCTGCCACTGGGCCTTCGGTGGAGCTCCCTATGGGGCCACGAACCGTGTGAGGGGTGCGCCAAAATGGGGCGGGGCCGCCATGCGAACCCTGCCACTGGGGCCTTCGGTGGAGCTCCCTATGGGGCCACGAACCGTGTGAGGGGTGCGCCAAAATGGGGCGGGGCCGCCATGCGAACCCTGCCACTGGGGCCTTCGGTGGAGCTCCCTATGGGGCCACGAACCGTGTGAGGGGTGCGCCAAAATGAGGCGGGGCCGCCATGCGAACCCTGCCACTGGGGCCTTCGGTGGAGCTCCCTATGGGGCCACGAACCGTGTGAACCGTGTGAGGGGTGCGCCAAAATGAGGCGGGGCCGCCATGCGAACCCTGCCACTGGGGGCTTCGGTGGAGCTCCCTATGGGGCCACGAACCGTGTGATTGGTGTGCCGAAATAGAGACATGCGGAGGGTGATGCTGATCATGACGCCGAATATCATGGTGATGTTGATGATGACGATGATGATGATGACGATGATGATGATGATGATGATGGCAGGAGGGAGGGGGCAGCGGGAGGAGGAGAAGGAGGGAACGCGGGGCACCGTCTCTTCAAAACGAGGACCCAACACCACAGGATGGTTGGGAAAAATATGGTAGTGAACCATTCCCAACATTTTGAGCAAGAGAATCTGTCTCGAGGAACGCGGCACGGCAGGCGAAGCTCGGCCGGCAGCGAAAAGCAGCCGGAGGCGTGGCCACGTGGCGGTCTGTGCTAAGCAGGACGGCCATCACAATGATGCTTCGAGGCTGAAAAGGGCAGTGAGAAGCGCACTCGGATGGCGGAGGGCAGGCCACGGGTGCACTTGAGAAAGATCAAAAGCCATGGAGCGGACCGGACAATCACGTGCAAGCACTCCTATGTCTGGTAGCGCTCCGTTCCCAACATTT